AATGTTACCAGGACCGCCTTCTTCCACCTGCATAATATCACTAAAATTAGAAATGTCTTGTCCAAAAAAATAAAAAAATAAATGATAAAAAATAAAAAATGATTCATGCATTTATCACATCTAGGCTGGACTACTGTAATTCTTTGTTACTTGGGCTAAAAAAACAAACAAACAAACCTTAAGTCTTCAGCTGATCCAAAATGCTGCTGCTAGAGTTTTAACTCTTGGATTTATCAAAAAGGAAATTTTGTTTGTTGTAATATTTTAAATTCTATCCTTAATTTGACAGGGAGGCAGTGGAGAGGAGCTAAAACAGGAGAAATATAATCTCTCCTTCAAACTATAGTTAGGGTTGGTCTCGATTTCCTGAGCTATCCTTTTGTTTTCTATCTAATACTGGTAAGAATGAGAAGTTGGCAGGATTACAAATATCACTTTTACAACAACAAATTATATGAAAAAAGAGACATGAAATCTGATTTCTCATTTAACATTTTATAGGAACATGTACCTTCAGGAATTTTTATTGACAACTCATTTACACACAGAACAGACAGTGTTGAACGCTGACAAAGAGGTGGATTCAGTTGATTTAAAAAAAACATTTTCTTTTATTGTTTCACACAAAAAACAGTTACACAGAGCTGCTCCTTTCTCTCTATTTACACAACGGCAGTGGTTTTGCTATTTTAAAACAAGCTGGATTAGGTGAGTTTGTTTGTGGCACAATTCATAAAAAGAGGCTCATCACTGATACAAAAATATAGTACAGCATTTGTCTTGTCATAGCAAACATTCATACCTGTCCATTTTTGGCCCAACAGACCAACAGCCACTTCTTTTATCAGAAAAAGTGAACAGCTGCACAAAGTGAATACATAAGCGACACTGACCATAAAAGTGGTTTGTGAAAAGATTTAAATTAATATTCAGACAACTATGGGTTTTATTTCAGTTATAATTTCTGCTCATTTCAGCACAAAATCATAGAAGAATCCTACAATCTACAATTAGCTGTACAAAACAAATAAAAAAAAGACAATTCAGAACTTAAACAGCAAACTAACAGAGTTTGACTGCATTAACCAGATTACAAAAGAACTCATCGGCAATACTTTGCAACAAGTTTTTAAGAAGTATTATCTGGGTTTAGACCTGGACATTCAGGGCTGTAGACTTGAAAAGAGCTCCTGGGTCAAAATCTACGCAACATTTACAGAAATTGAACTGAAACAGATGTGAGATTTCCAAAGTTATCAAACAAATGCCATGAATATGTTTACAATTCAAGCACAAATGACCTGTGTGAAGAAACTGAGAACAACCCCAGTTCCTGTTTGTACACTCAGGAGCTACCAGGTGGCTTCTGGACTTCTCATCAAACCCAAAGGTCCGATGTTAGCAGGTGTAATCAGGTGTATTTCTGTAAAAAGGGCTACACTCACACTGTAATATACAAGAGAGGACATGGGAAGATTTATTTCTTTTGCATTCCCACGCAATAGCATTGCGTTACCTTGCAATACTTTTGCGTTACATCGCAAAATTGTTTTGTGTTCCCACGCAAAAGACTGTTTTGTATATGAACTGAATTAAATCAGACTTTTATTTTGAAATATCCGGTTACCAGTGTTGTATAAAGTACCTCAAAGTGATACTTGAGTAAAAGTACAAGTATCTTATCATAAAAATACTTTGGTAAAAGTTAAAGTCTTCTCTAAAAATATTACTTGAGTAAAAGTACAAGTATCTTATCATAAAAATACTTTGGTAAAAGTTAAAGTCTTCTCTAAAAATATTACTTGAGTAAAAGTCTTAAAGTATCTGATATTTTTGTACTTAAGTGTCAAAAGTAAATTTCTGACAGAAAATCTACTTAAGCATTAAAAGTATAAGTACTGAGTAAAAGTGAGCAGTTAGATTTTCCAAAATGACATTTATTGGGAGGTGACTTTTTCAAAAAATATTTTTTTCTAACAGCGTGCAGCTGTGATGGGTTGTGTACAAGCTAAAATGGTGTCAGAATGGTATATACAGTATTTATACTTCTCATCCAACCACAATTAAATTCACTCTATCCAGGAGACACAATTTATCAGGATAGTATTTTTAAGTAATAACAACTCAGAATAAAACAGGATTAACGACTTTCTACTTCTTACCTTTTTAAAAAAAAATCTAGTGAGTAGAAAGTACAGATAATTGTGTAAAAATGTAATGAGTAAAAGTAAGAAGTATGCTGAAAAATAATTACTCAAGTAAAGTACAGATAAACAAAATTTCTACTTAAGTACAGTAACAAAGTATTTGTACTTAGTTACTTTACAACTCTGCGAAAACAGGATGTGTCGCCACAAATTCGTGAAATTGACATTGATGTTGCGTGGCTACATTGTATTAAAATATCGGCATATGACATACTTCCATGAGTAGTTGTGTGATATATTCATTCTGAAGCTGAATTAAAGCAGTAGACTAACTCACTAATGGTGAACATGTGAGTTTGTTAATAAACCGGCAGGCACAACAGTGATGAACTACATTTGCGAGGTAACGCAATACTATTGCGTGGGAACGCAAAAGAAAAAATAAATCTCCCTTGTCGCCTTGCGGGCTCCGTAGTAATACACTCCTGGAAATAATGAGATGTAACTTTGGATGTCCTGCTATTTCATTATTATACAATAAAATGAAATAAAAAACATGCCAGTTTGATGAACAGAAAGGAATTCACCCCCAACCTCGCCAAAAACAACAACGATAAAACTCTTGGATATGTTTTATTTTTCAATTATCCTTCTTCTTCCTGAGAAGACCTCGAGGCTTTAAAGTGTGAGAACTGTAGTGTTTCTGACACAACTAACTCAGGAAACGTGGTGATGTCCCACACGGACTCAGGGACATGGTATTCCATCAGAGACAGTTGTCCACAGACAATCATTAGAAACAAAGCATCCAGTGATCTGCACACAGCAGCAGCTTTCTACACTTCCTGTCTGCTGCAGTTTACCCACTGAGACTCCAACATCAGGTCCCTGTATCTCAGTCTGACTCTGGGCGGGGTTCATGAAGGTGTGTAAGCTCTGCACAACACAGATACATTTCTAACACATCAGTCTGAGGAGACACACAGACTTGTTGGAGAACATGGAGTCGAACAAATAACGTGAGGATGCTGATGTGCTTCTGTGAGGGAGGTTTTCCATCCATCCATTTATCCATGGTCCAATGAGGACAACAGGTCCTGGAGGGTACATCATTCTCCCGAGTGATCCTCTCCAGGCCCCAAGTGGTCTTAGTCCAGTGAGTTCAGGGTTTACCCTGAGGTCTTCTCCCAGTGGGATGTGCTCAGAAACCTCCAGAGCAGAAACCCAGGAGCTGCTCAAACCACCTCAGCTGACTCCTTTCAGTGAGGAGGAGCTTTACTCAGAGGTCCCACCCAGACTGAGGTCCTCAGCTGATATCTTAGACTGAGTCCAGCCGTCTAACAGAGGAACCTCATTTCCGCTTGTGTCCAGGATGTTGTTGTTCTGTTCCTGATCCAAACCTCCTGACCATAGATGAGAGGTGGAGGGTAGATGTACCAGTGAATTGAGAACTTTGATTTTTTTTTGGCTCAGCTCTTTCTTCACCAGTTCCGTCGGGAGCAATGGCACCCCCTCATGAGGTCTGCCAATCCATCTCTTACACCATGCTACTGTTGTTCATGAAGAAAACACCCAGGTACTGGAACTCCTCTGTTTGAGGAAGAAGCATCATTCCCAGCCTCACCAACAAAGTATTTGTCACATTAGCAGCCAAGTCTAGGAGAAGTTAACTGGCGAGTGTCTGGTAATTGAGCCTTGCTTCTTGAGGCCACCTCCATGTGGACCCACATCCTGCGAAGTGTGTCATAGAGGCTGGGTGCAGTGGATGCTGGGAGGCAGGGTGATCTCTGGTGATACAAATGAGGGAAGGTCTGTCTGACGGACAAGTTCAATGAGGGGCTCCTGGGATTTGTACGTCTTGTAGAAGACAGGACGTCCTGCGCTGTGCTTCCCAAGGTTAAATCAGTCCAGACCAATGAAGACCCCCGTCATACAGTGAAGCTTAAATCTTTTGTAAATCCACAATCTATGTACATCGAGAGAACGGTCTAAGCTCCGAAGAAAGTGTGTCCTCAGCATGCAGTGTCCAGTGTTTCGCAAAAAACAGACAGTAGTTCTCAAACCACCTCACAAGTCTCTTCTCTCCACCGGCCCCCTCCTCGTTCTTCAGGTGCAGCAGTCACGCTCCACAGGACAAAAGAACGTAGACGGGGAGGGCAGGGACGTGGAGGTAGAGGGTTCGGACGAGGAGGAGGAAGACGAAGATGCCGTCGAGGCAAGCAGGGAGGGGTAGGGACTCATTTTTTCAATGTTGACGTACGTGGTGTTGAGTAGGACGTAATGCTCGCCACTGAAGTTGGAGAAAATGGCGGAGATGCGCGACACCAGCTCGGAGAAAGATGGCCGCCGCTCCGGTTTGGGATGCCAGCTCTCGATCATTACGGTGTAGCTGCAGGAAAAGAGAGAGACGTCAGGAACCGGAGCTGAAAGGGTAAACATGGATGTAAACATTAAGCAGTAAACTGTGGTCGACACAAGACTCTCCCTGCTGGCTTGTATTGCTGAAATCAGCAAGACCTTCTCTGTAGAAGAGACCAAATGGTTGCCAGTGTACATTGTATAAAAACCCTTTCTTTGAAAAAAAAAAAGAGTTGCATGTGGCTAAAGCTAAGTAAGCAGGTAAGTAAGTATTATTTATGGTTTGCCTCTCTGTCTGTTAGCCTAATAGCACATGAACAACTGGAAACTTTTAATGAAACTTTTAGAAATTAATCATTGGATTAACTCTACAACTCATTACCATTAGAAGTCAACCCATTTCAGTATAGCTGAAGTCAGCCAACTGATATTAAAAAAGCAAAACTTGTTATACTGCGCTAACTTTTAGATATTGAACTATAATTTGGTGTGACAGTTAGATGAGCATTATCCCCAACTTATACTCATTATGCAAAATCTTTGTTTAAAGCATTGCCACTAATTATTGAAGTCAATTCCTCGTATTTTGTCTGTTAGCAAAATATCTCATGAACAATAGGACAGATTTTAATTTAACTTTTATACATAAGTAAACATCAGATGAACATCTGCAGCTGCTTAAATCAGGGGTTCTCAAACGTTTTGGGCCTGGGGACTCCTTACAAGAGTGAAAATGACCAGAGATGCCCTCATAAATCCCATGCTGTTTTTGAAATAATTTACTGTCATTTTAACCCCTAAATATTATGAGAATTTATTTTTTTGTTTGGTTTAGTATGTTTGTTTTACTAGTGCATTGTTCCTCATATTCATTTTCAAATAAAATCCAAAACAACAATTTATTGACATTTTTTGAGGACCCCCAATATAGGCCTCTTGGACCCCAGTTTGGGAAACTCTGGCTTAAATTACTGCATTAACGCAATTCAATATGGCTGCCACATTTTAACAAGCTAAGCCAACAGAAAAATGGTTTATAACTCAATCAACTTTAAAAATACTGAGGAATTTTGGTTTGGTATTAGCCTGGCCCTTGCCTTCCTACGCAGCTCCGCTCAATTCTAGTTTACCTTCACTGCTCCGTCTGGGACTTCTCCCATTAACAAGGATTTCACTGGCAGATTTTTAGCCTGGCCAATCAGAGAACAGAATGTCAACTTTCTGCACAGTGTCTGCTTGTAGTTTATTTTCCCTGGGCCAATCAGCAAACAGAAGGCGGAGTTTTGAACGACGTCGATGTTCTGCGCAGTGTCTGCTAGTTATTTTAGCATACGGCAGTGGAGGAAGTGAATGAAGCCAGTCTGTGTTGATAAGACTTCCAAATTAAAATAAATTTGTCTGACAAAGCAGCAGCTCTCAATTACAGTCGTCTCGTTCAGCTCGGTATATTTTTCCTCTCAGTAGGGTTGTTTACAGCACACGCGATTTCCGGTTAGCTTCTTAACTTAGCCTCCATCACAGCAACAACACACACATGCTTCAGCAGAGGCCACGCCTCCTGCAAGAAACGATTGTCTATTCATCAAGTCCAGACCCTTGTACGAAGCAAAGTGAAGGACTGGGTCTGGTTTGAACCAGGCTAGTTTAGTATTACCTGCATCCCAAACATAATCTAAGCTCTACACTAGGCCTGTAGCGATAGTCAAGAAATTGCACGATAAGTTATTTTGAGGTCGGTAAAAAAAATGAGGACAAGTCTCATTTTCCTGCTTGTTTGTTTACTTCGTCTCTCTCCCTCTCTGTGCTCCGCTACACAGGGGCTCAGCTGACTCCTCCCCTCCTGTTTTCTTAGTGTCGGGAGGAGTGAACTCTCGCTTTAGCATGATGGTGCGTTCACACCAAACGCGATTTCAGCGTCAGGAGCAGCAGGTTTACATGCAAAGTCTATGGTGGAGGCGCTTCAAGCAACGTCGGGAAGTTCTGCGGCGCCTCAAGCGCGATTAGAGCAGCGCGATTTGGACGATTTGGACGATCTGAGCGTTCGGACGATCTGAGCGTT